AATTAAACATTAGAGTGTGATCTAATGATTTAAGGAAGCTTTTTTTATAAATCCATCTTTAATTACTTATGTTCCATCTAATCCAAATTCTTTTTTACTATTCCATTAGGTCTTATTTGAGATAAGAAGACCAAAATATCCTTTTCATCTACTTATATTCTATTTAGTTCATATTATTTCCTTATGTTTCAATAAGTCCTATGGGTGACATAATTACCAAAATACCCTTAATGTGAATGTTTACACCGTCAATGTGAATGTTTATATCGTCAATGTGTAGGGGCCCGGCCCATGTACAATGTGAATATTCACATTAACATGTTAACATTCACATTGATAGGAGTGTAAAATTAGCCCGCGGCCTGTGGACGGCCCGGGGCGAGCCCGGTCCAGCCCGTGAAAATGTGAATATTCACATTGACATATTAACATTCACATTAATAGGACTGTAAAATTGGCTCGACGGCGCCAATTGTACGGGCCAGCACTACATGGATGGGTTTCTTTGCAATGTTTGGGAGAAGGTTGAGTTTGTTTGGTACTATGAGGATGTTGTCTCTAAAAGACCTGTTTATTGGGTCTTCTATTCAGGTTTGTGTATCTATCTATACTACTGAGACAATCCATCTTTTAATATCAGTTCATCATCTCTCAGAAATTGAGTGATGGGTTGTGCTTTGTTTGCTTTTCTGAATTTGAATGGTACATGCAATGCAACCCGGTTCTCAATTTTCCATAACCATAGCTTATGACTTGATGGCACGGTTTTTTGGGAGTTTTCACGACAAATCTCCAAATAATTGATGTTGAGACGAGAATGTCAAAGTTAAAATTTTAAAATATTACATCTGGAGATCAACCTTGAGATTTTAACCTAGAAGGATAATTGTATTTGTAAATAAAAATTGTATCACTAACATAGAGTATATATATATATATATATATTATATATTTGGTAAATTTTTTGAATGTAATTAAATTAGAATTTCTATTTTATGTAACTTGTATTTGAATGAAAGTTTCATATTGGTTGGTCAGTTTATGACTCAAGACAAATACAAGCACAAATCATAAAACGTAAGACATAAGAAAGAATTAGTTCTTCATTCTTGAATTATTTGATTGTTTAAGTCTTATAATTTAATTTCTTAAAATTAATGAAATGATAAAAAAGTTCATGTTTGCCCACTTAGCATGAAAATTATGGCTTAAGAGTAAATAAAAAATTACTCTTTCTGGGGGTTTATCTCTTAGAATTGAAGTGATAATTTTTTTCAATTTGTTAGTCACTTGTAAGAAAAGATATTGAGTGACATGTTATTTTTGTCACAAGTTTTTCTTAATTTTTTCAAGATACAAACTCATCATCAGTATGAATTGATAGTTATGATAGTGATTGTTAGTTTGGACATGTTGATTACGTTATAAACTATAGTAACACATAGCTATGTAAAAATATTGTTCACATGATTGGAAAATTATCAAAAATACTTGCAAGGAATTTGATGTGAGATCATCAAAGCGGATGAATCTTAAGTCCAAGTAACATAATCACTCATAATGAAAACTCGACTAAATGCTTGAAACATCTAGTCCTTGAGCTCAATGAGCCAAAGTACATCATATGTCATAATTGCATTCATTTGAATTTTATTTTTATAACCATCGGTGTTAGTTAGGGTATTATAGTTGGAGGGGTACTCTCAGTAAACTTACTTATGTGAGTGTATGAGGTGGTGTCGTTTCTTATAAGCTCAAGGGTTTGACTCTAGAGTGCTTATGAAACATAATATATACACAAGACCAATCCACATGTCGGCTTTTTGAATTGCTAAGAAGAAGAAAATTTATGTGTGAGACATGTCTAGGTTAGTCGTATAAGATAGCTAGTTTAAAGATAAGTCTACTATGTTATCTTAATTAACTTTGATGTGTTTTCACTAAATGAATGGTTTAAATCGTAAGATACCTTCATTATTTTTGCATAAATTTCCTAATCTATCCAAGTTATTATTTTTATATATTTTGAAAATGGTGGGCAATCGTTGAAACATTTTCATAATATATTTATATATATTTAAATATATAATTTAGTTATATGAATTATTAAACCAATCTTCTCATGTAATTTTAGAAAATCTTCCACTATCTCATAATTAACTCTCTCAACAGCCACTGAACCCTAATTCTCCCAAAATATTTTATAGAATTTTTTTAAAAAATTTTATTAAAAAATATTTGGGCTGAAATAAAGAGAGCGCTAAATTGGAAAAATTATAATGCATTTCATTGTTTTGTCAAAAAAAGAAAAAAGAAAAAAAGAAGAAGAATGAATTCATAAAAGTAACCTCCAACCTTGTTTGGCTAGATGAGCCATGTTGAAGCCCTTGAAATCTTTGAACCCAATTTTGATGTGGATAAATTCTTAATGAATTACATGAAATCATTTTTATTGCATTAATGCAATAGGTGATCAAATATGTTTACCAGCCAAAAATTGGACACCATCTGTATTGATAAAAGGTTTGGCTTCTCTTGATAAAAGACATGAAAAATAGAAAGCGTTAAACCAATCTATTGACGACATATAGACATTAAATCAATTTATTGATGTCATATCAGGCAAACTTTTATTATTTAAATTTAGTCATTATAACATTATTATTTATCCCCTTGAGAAGCTACGTCATTAAAATCCTCAGCCACAAGCCAAGAAAGGTTCATGTTGTCAGCAACTGATTCAAGGTTGTCCCACAAAAGGTCATGGTTCCTAGGGTTCAGGCTTGCATAAACTGCTGACAAAATCCAATCAGCATGGTTGTCACGTTGAATTTTGGCATGGATAACTTGGGGTATGTACCTCAAGGGCTTTCACTATAGCCTCGAAAGGGTCCCAAAACACCCAAATGCCCTCACTCCTACCAACAGGGTCTACATGGAAAGAGGTATTGAACCCCAATTCGTTAAAAAATAAACCCATTGAGATCAAATCAATTTTGGTCTCCATCAGAATAATAATAGAAGTTTTATGATTCTAATCGTTCAAAAAATATTTATAAGGGTATCAAAATTAAATATAAGGGCATAAGTGTCCAAGAAAATAGTATAAATCAAGAAAAAAGACTTTATAGAATAAAACTATACATACATGGAACTAAAATGGGTTAAAAAATTCCTTCATGAACTTCTTAAGTTAAAACATTTTTAAATGAAATTTATCAATAATTTTTTCATAATTTAATAATTATATCTTAAAATGTGATGAGTGGAAGGTCTCAATTCGAATTGATAGGACAATGTAGGTTTGAAGTAAAAAAATTATTATCACATCATTTTTTATTTTATTTTTATAAAAAATTAATCAAAATAATCCATTCACAAATAAACGGGAGATAACTTTCGGATTTGTGACCAAATCCTTGCTAATTTTTTGCCCTTATTGGAGTTTACTTAACAAGGGAAGGGCATTTTTGAGATTACATAACGTGAATTTTGGCGGCTGCGATGCGAAGGTGTTTCAGATCAAGTTGGAATCCGCCAACTCCACGCCAAGTTCATGCATTTTTTTTCTTTTTTCTTTTTTATTCACACATATGTTCATTTAATCGATTAAGGAGTTATTTGAGATATTTTAAATAAGTGTATTTTTTAAATTTTTATAAAATATAAGTTTAGTTTGAAGTGATGTGGTAAAAAATTGATATAATTTAAATAAAATGATATGACTTAAATAAGATAATAACTTTTAACTTTTTTAAAAGATGTCAAACCTAACCTAAATATTGATTGTGACAATATTATCTTACAAAATGTCATTGTTGGCAAACTACATAAATAAATAAAATTAAGAGTAAATTAAAAATGCACTTATAATACGAAGTGTTTCATATAATTTGAAAAATTATAAATATTTTATTTTTGAAATTTTTTATTTAATAAAATTAACTATAAAAATAAAATTTTTAGCTACTCTCCTATATAATAATAAAATTAACTAAATTATTAATTGAAATAAATTTTTGACATCGTTAAAAACTGTTAATTGACTTAATGATATATCAAAAAAATGAGTTTTTTGTTATGAAATTTGAAACTTTAAGGGACATAATATAATTTTCAAAATCACAAAATGCAAATCGTATTTTAAACAAATCTTAAAAAGTGTATTTGTAATTTATCCTAAAATTAAATTAAGGCCTTGTTTGGGATGTGTTAGAATAGCACATCTTTATATTTTTATCTTATTTGAGTTATATCTTATTTTGGTTATATCATTTCCGTCTCACATTTCACATCTTTTCATAAAAAATTAAAAAAATATATTTATTTAAACTATTCCAAACTATCCCTAAACATTCCTTTATGTGAATTTATATTAGCTAAGTCAAATTAAGGGGTGGTTTTGAATGATTTAAATAAGTGTATTTTTTTATTTTTTATAAAATATGAATTGGGTATGAGTTAGGTTTGAAGTGATGTGATAGAAAGGTGATGTGACTTAAATAAGATAGTTATTTTTTGACTTTTTAATTTTTTTAAGTTATGACAAGCAAGACCGTAAATAAATTTTCAAACTTGATAATTTATTACAACAGCGATTCGTAGCTCGAATTTACCAAGGCTCGAATGGCTCGAGGTGCCAAAACGACGTCATTTTGGCACCTTTTTTTATTTTTTTTTATTTTTTTCCCCTCTTCTTCCTTCCCCTTCTTCCTCTCTTCTGAATCCAAACTCAAATCAAAATCAAAATCATTTTTTTTTTCTTTTTCCTTCCCCCTCTCTTCTTCCTTTTCTTCCTTTCCCCTCTTTTTTTCCTTCCTCTTCTGACCGGCCAACAGATTTAAAAGAAAAGAAAGGAGGAAGAACAGATTCATAAAAAAAATAAAACAAAAACAAAGAAAAGAACAGAGAGGAGAAGAACATAGCATCATCATCAACAAAAACCTCTTCATCAACACAGCATCTCATCAACAACAACATCCATCATCAACAACAGAGCATCATCATCAACAACAAAATCAAAATCAAAATCAAAACAAAATCAAACCCACAGAATCAAAATCAAAAATCAAAACCAAACCCAAACCCAAAATCAACCCACTGAATTAAAAAAATCATCCGCCCATGGCGGTGGGTTGGGTTCGAGTGGTTCGCGATCTCCGTCCATGGCGGGTTGTGGTGATCTCCGTCCATGGCCCCCTCTCTTTATTTTCTTCTCCTCTCTTCCTCCTCTTTTTCTCTTGCTCCTCTCTTTCTCTGAAATCATGAATGCTTGCTCCCACTAATTAGGTGGCAGTGGGTTCCGTCATTAATGATGTGATGTTTTGATTTTAGAGTTGTATTTTTTTTATTTTTTTTTTACTTTTTTAATACATTAGTGCTTTTAGTGGTGATGTTTTTGATGGAATGAATCATTGTTGGTGAAAGGAAGAAGAAAGGAAAGAAAAAAAAAAAAATTCGGACCATTTTGGAGCCACGGTATTCGAGCTACCACTCTTTTGATTGATTCGAATCAATCAAATTAACTTGAATATTTTTACAGTATATTTTAGAATCAAACCAATATATTACCCAACTCAAATCAAATCTACCTGAGATTGCGCCAAAGTTCACCGTATGGAGCTACACCCATATTGGTGTTGTTGTAGTTGAGGTGTTTTCCGGCGAGGCTCCGGGGCCGGTTGGCGAATACCACATCGTTTTTCGTCAAACATTCTTCAACGGCGGAAGGAGAGGTGACGACCACCACCTTTTTGGGTCCCAACCGGAGGAGGAGGATGGGCCCATACTTGTCTGAAAAAGCTTGAAGAGTTTGGTGCAGTGGCTCTTTCAGTAGATGAAGATGGCCTATGATGGGAAGCCCAGGTGGACTTGGTGGTAGATTCTTGTATCTCTGTTGTTTTGATGTCAATAGCTTCAAGAGGAAGAAGAGTAGGAGGAAAGAGAATATGATGAGAGGCATGGAGTACCACTTGGCTTCCTCCATTTGTCTGCGTCAAAAGTTCAGTGTTTGTGATGCCAAGTTGTGGATTGAAAATTTGTTATTTATTTAGCTGACCGGCCAACAGATTTAAAAGAAAAGAAAGGAGGAAGAACAGATTCATAAAAAAAAAAACAAAAACAAAGAAAAGAACAGAGAGGAGAAGAACATAGCATCATCATCAACAAAAACCTCTTCATCAACACAGCATCTCATCAACAACAACATCCATCATCAACAACAGAGCATCATCATCAACAACAAAATCAAAATCAAAACAAAATCAAACCCACAGAATCAAAATCAAAAATCAAAACCAAACCCAAAATCAACCCACTGAATAAAAAAAATCATCTGCCCATGGCGATGGGTTGGGTTTGAGTGGTTCGCGATCTCCGTCCATGGCGGGTTGTGGTGATCTCCGTCCATGGCCCCTTCTCTTTATTTTCTTCTCCCATCTTCCTCCTCTTTTTCTCTTGCTTCTCTCTTTCTCTGAAATCAGTTTCAACTTGAGGTGGAAGGGAGAAGGAAGAAAAGGAAAAAAAAGAGAGAGATGAATAAAGGTGTACAAATTCGAGCCATTTTCGAGCCACGGTATTCGAGCTACCACTCTTTTCTCAATTTATTAAGCCTCCGTTTGAGAAGTGGATTGACTTTTTGACTTTTTTAGTTATTTTACCTTGGGCTAAAAAACTTGGTTTGGGAAGGACTTTTTGGTTTTTTGACTTTTTTGACTTTTTTTGTGAGAGAATAGTGTAATAATTATGGATTGGATGTGATGTTTTGTTTATTGTGACTAAAATAGTATATTTTGTCTTATGTGGCTAAAATAGCCACAAACCAATTTGCCATATGGACCCTAAATAAAATTTGAACAATTTACTATTCAATTCGATAAATTTATATATATTATAAAAATTTAAGTTACTCGAACTTAATTCATATTCAACTTATTATGTGAACAAATTAAATTTAAACACATTTTAAATTTCGTTAAGTTTTCAAGTTAGATTTAAACAAATTAATAATTAAATAAAGATTGAGAACTTTAATTTTAGACCTCTAAAGAGAGCTCTATTAATGTTGCAAGAGTGGGGTCTACATATGATGTGATGTGTGTACCTATATTTTTATTTTTTTTCTCTTATCACATCATTAAAACTCTCTTTAAAGTTTCAAAATTAAAACTCTATATCATTGTTGCTAATAATTTTGACACGTTTACCGTCCTAACCGCATTGCTTAGCATTAGCCATGATATAACACTATCATAGGTCTCTTTCGACAACACCAAAAATAAATAATTTATTGATTTATATGAAGCACATTATCTCTCTATTTTTAGGATATCTTTTATAATAAGTAACAAAGTCAAAAAAATAAATCATACTCTCTTCGTTCCAAAATATTACCCTTATTTCATTTTACGAAAATATAGACAAAAAATAGAGAAAAAATAAAAAATTTAACTTTTGCTAATAATTTTGACACGTTTACCGTCCTAACCGCATTGCTTAGCATTAGCCATGATATAACACTATCATAGGTCTCTTTCGACAACACCAAAAATAAATAATTTATTGATTTATATGAAGCACATTATCTCTCTATTTTTAGGATATCTTTTATAATAAGTAACAAAGTCAAAAAAATAAATCATACTCTCTTCGTTCCAAAATATTACCCTTATTTCATTTTACGAAAATATAGACAAAAAATAGAGAAAAAAATAAAAAATTTAACTTTTTTATATAATTTGTTTAAATGACTAAAATATAGATAAAAAATTATATAATTTTTTATATAATTTGTTTAAATTCAAAAAGTTGTAAGAGCAACTACTCTCTTTTTTGTGATGTTTGGACCAGTTGTGATATTTATAAGGTTGATTATTATAAATATTATATTTAAAATTATTTTTAGTTATAATTAAAAATAATAATTTTTAATCATAATTGATGATACTACTTGTCCCTGAGGAACGGGTCGGGCTGATCTAGGCCTCCTACACCGTTGTCCGATCGCTGGTCCACTGAGAAACCTGCACAAGAGTCCAACGAGGAATGGGAGTCCCCCAGCGAACCCTCCGACGAGCAAGTTAGAGAAGAGAGATCAACGGAATATAGAGATAGGATGGTGATAAAGAACTTAACTTTCTTTTTGTCTTAGAAACCTGCTTATATCCTTTGTTCATCATTTCCTTGTCTGCTCTGACCTATCATGTTAGCCGAAAATCTATGTTCTAACTTGCCTTGTTCATGGTGAGGCTGTTCTGTTCTGACGTGAAGGGTTTATCGTAATAAATGCTGCAGGAAACCTCATTAATGGCTGATGTGTGGTGCAATAACTCTGCAGGATCGTTGTCAGCTTATGTGGCTGATTCTCCTCTTGACAAGTGTTTAGATGTCATTGGTTCTTAGTGCAACGTTGGGTTCCAAGGATGTTGGGCTTTAGTATTTGAATCATGAATTGGGCTTTAAGTGGTGGGCCAAAAGCCCCTATGGGCCCACCTATGTCAGTAATCCGCTATTCCGAAGTGCAGCTTCAGTCCAGCAAAGGGAATAAAGAAGAAGACAGTGGTTGTGGGTGGTTAGGGATGGCAATTTAAAACCGGTCCGACGGGGACCCGACCCCCCGTCCCCGATAAGAGTGGTTTTTCCCCGAATAATACCCCCGACGGGCCGGGGATGGTATTTAAATTTGAATCCCCGATTAAATTCGGGCCGGGGACGGGGATCACTTTCACAGCCCCGGCAGCAAAGGGAATAAAGAAGAAGACAGTGGTTGTGGGTGGTCAAGTGAGAGAAGACCGACTAGGAGGAGGGCTGATCACGAAGGATGACCAGGTGAGAAGGCCGATCGCAAGGAAGGTCGACCGCGAAGGGTGACCGAGTGAGAAGGCCGACTGCGATGAGGGCCGACCGCGACGGGTGACCGAGTGAGAAGGGGAAATGGTGGCGCGTGGGACTTGAGGTACGGTCGTGGCACGTGATGATGTGAAGTAGAATAGACAGGAAAGGAGAAGAAAGTAATGAATCGTGGTCGTACACGTGGCACAATCCCGTAATAAGGGAGGTTGTGCATTAGTGGAAATGAAGGGATAGGCTAATATAGGGCGTTGAAGAGGCGGGGGCGGAAATTTTTGAAAATTTTCAAACTAGCGAAATTATCTTGACCCTTGGAATATAGGGAAGTCATGGGCATTTGGAGTTATTCGCTTTACCTACCTTATCGCAAGAAACCAACACATCCCAAAGGTGAACTCATTTGTTTCGTGTAACACGCCTCTACAACACTTTGCAAACCTCCTTATGCCAGCGTCCGAAGCGATACGCAGGCACGTAGGAGGAATGGCTCGAGATGAAGTGTCAGCCGCAAGGCTTGACTCATTGGGAGATGACGACGCAGTGGAGTTGGCGGAACAGTATCGAGTGGAGCGGAGGGAGGAGAGGGGAGCTGGACAAGTGGTGCGGGCTCGTCCGACGACGATGATCGCAGCTGCTAGGTCAATTAGCCAAGTGGAGCTAGACCACTAGCACACCAAGGTCGACAGATCTACGTTTACAGCAAAGGAGTTGGAGGAGGTACGGAGGAAGTACCAAATTCCTGTGAAGATAGAGTTGAGGATGCCCACATCTAAGGAGAGGGCATCGGATGTACGACCTGCAGAATTCTCCTTGTACGAGGAAGTATTACGAGGAGGCCTAAGGTTGCCGATCCCCCAAGTAGTGGTAAATGTATTGAACCGACTGGAGGCGACGCCGGGGCAGCTGATGCCCAACGCATAGAAAATCATAACGGCTTGCGTGATCACATGGCCACAGGCAACCGGTGGGGCGGCGATGACAACGGAAGAATCCTTTTCTTGCTACAAAGCGTCTAGTCAACAAGAGAAGTTGATAAATTTCCAGGCGGTGGCAGGCAAGGGGTTAGTGGCCAGGTTGCCCTCTTCGGTGAAGGGGTGGAGGCCGAGGTGGTTCTATGTGTCAGCAAATGGTGGGGGGGGGAGTGCACACGACATGGAAAGTCCCCAAGAAGTCGGTGGAGTCAAAGTTAGAGGCGGAGGAAGAAGGTATGGTGAAAATGGTAAACGAGTAGAGGGAGAATGAGGGTGTAAGGTGGGACGACCTTGTCTGTCCTTCAGCTTTGTATGCGTTAGGTTTAGGACCGCAGCCGATGGAAGAGGACCCCGCCCTAGAGGAGTTGGAAGCAAGGCGAAAGGTAGAGGAGCAAAGGATCTTGGCTAAGGCAGAAAAGTATAAGGAGTCTCAGCTGGGGCCTGCTCCTAAGTTGGTGGTGAAGGAGAGAGTCTGACCTCGCCCGAAACCGTTGAGAGGCAAAGAACTGACCGACTTTGCCCCACTGCCGCCCCCAGTAGACCTGCTGAAGAAGAAGGGGAAACAGGAGGTGGCGGGAGTGTTAAAAAAAAGGAAGAAAAAGAGGGCGGCGACAGAGGGTAGAAAAAACACCCCTGTTCTAAAGAAGATAAAGGAGGGGGGCGCGGAGGAGGCGCCAGGAAGGGAAATTGTCCAAGTGACGGAGGAAGGCATGAGCCCAAGTGCCAAAAGAAGACATGGGTCCAAGCGCCCAAGTGCAGAGATAAGTCGTGGGCCTAAGTGCACAGGCGAAGGCTACGGTGGAGCCTGTGGTGGAAATATCTCCCAGTTCTAGTGAAGGGAAAACTGGGAGTAGCAGGCCAGAGATAAGCACCGCGTTAAAGACTGCCATGTACCATGCACGAGAGTTGGCAGGTCGGTCGGCAGAACAAGGGCGAGAGGCTAAGGTAGCGGCCGACCGACTCGTTGGAGTGTTGAAAGACGTGACCGTGCGGTCAATGGCGCGGTTAATGGAGGGCGACCTTATGAGAGAGGTCTGCTCAGCTCAGATGGAGATAGCAACCTTGGCGGCTGCCCTGATGAATAAGGCAGCGCAGGCAAAGATAGAGGTAAAGCCACTAAGGGCCTAGCTAGAAGGGGTGAAGGCGCAGCTGCCGAAACTGAAGATGGTGACAGTGGGCTAGAAGAAAGCCGCTCAGAGTGCGTGCGCCAAGGGGCTGGAGTGTGCACA